TTCTCTTCTGTGAAGCCCGAAGTTAGCTAAAGGGCTATTGATAACTATCCAAATTCCCGCCATTTGAAAAAAATATTGGTTTTACAGACTGGAGCAGAATCGAAGAAGTTGCTTATTCAAGTAATAGGGATGAGGTTACTTAGATTCATTTTTCTTTTTTATTACCGTGATCGTTATTACATACTACGTATTTTTTTCACTTTTAGGCTTCAGAACCACATGCAAGAAGTGTCAAATCAGGGCAGTATAACCCAAGTTCTTGAGTTTGAATACAACAAGCTGGTGGACTCCCTCTCGAAATGGATCAGTGTCCTCTCAACGGGAGGCAAGATTCGTGACCTCCCCACGACTTTAACGACCGATGAGGCTCTGGCACATTTTTTGGACGAAATAGAACCTCTCAGTCCTCTAATGGACCTGCCATCAAAAGGACCTATGATTGATCCAGAGAAGTTGTATTTGGGGACTGCTACGAAACCAGCCACCCTCTGTGCACTCGCTATTCAACTGGGAACGTGCGAATTCTTTCATTGTCAATCAGTGAGCTCTCATCAATAACATATTTTGTGCTTTTTGTCTGTTATGATATTATTTTTCCTCCTGTCGTACTCTGCCTAATTTGCGAGGATTCTCAGTTTACTACTGGGATAAAGGCCTAGGAAATGAGCCGATTATGGGGGTAATATTAGGCATTTGCATTGGTTATTGTGAAATGCGACGTCTCTATTTCCTTTCAGAAATCTTTTCCCAAACTCTGTGTAATTGCTATTTCTTGCAATTGTGTCTTAATTTATTTAACTACCTCTCTCTAATACTAGCTTTGTGTCATTAAATTGAGACATATGACTAGATTGCGAAACATCACAATCGCTTTAACTCTATTTACTTAAATTTTTCTACTTTTACCTTTGAAGGTATAAGGTTTTTCATGTGTGGTTCTTCAAATAATTGGACGAATATCCATTGAAGCATCTCTTCAAATTCCATAGTTAAACTTTTTAGCGTAACACGTTTGTTTTGGCTTTAATTTAGAACTATCAGATCCTGTAATTCTTCAAGAACTTAGCATTACTTTTTTTTCCATTTTCTTAATTTACTTACGGTGTAGTTATTTATCTGAAAGTTCTTTGAATCCGAGCTCGGTATAAACTTCAGTATCCTAGAGCATTCCCGTAGCTAATTTTTGCCATTATTTTCTGTGTCTGTGGTTTAAACACACAGTCTTATTTATATCAAATGACAGGCGTCTTGATGGTTATCACTAGCCCTTTAGTTGACGTCAGGCTTCACAGAGGGGAAGGAACATCGAATTGAAAAAAGTTGAGAGGGGGGGACAAAAGAGTGTTTCAAAGATGTAAGAGACAAGCATAAAGGTAGGAAAAAGTTGAAGTGAGTACTGTGAAGTAGTAGAATATAGCATAGAGTGAGGTGATGGTAGTTGAAGTGAGAAGTCAACTGCCAGTTAATAGACTTTTTTGCCGTATGAATATACGTTGCCCAGGGTGCACCGCGTGGAGGTAAGTCTATCGCACATTCCATAAACACACAGTCTAATCTTAGGTCTTTACATTT